TTTCACGAACTCTAGGCAAAAGTGAGCCGGGAATCGATGGGAAGTCGTGGTGCTCCACATGATAGCCCACATTATACACGAGCGCATTGAGTGGTCCGTAATAGGAGTAGGTCTCAGGTATGAGTTTGGAGTAGTCGTCCCTTTGGAGTTCATTTATGTTATTATTTTCAAACATATCGATACACTCATCAGGAATAATGAAGTGCTCGGATAAGTGATGTCCACCCATGGGGTGCACTCCCATACATAACAGCGTTGATCCTATCATATAGGCCACGATATGCCAGCCCAACAACTGGCCCACCAAATAGTCGAAAGTGAATTGTATGGCAATATTGGCCAACTCTACGGGACTGGGATTTAAAACAAACTTTGGCTGAGAAAAGAGTGGTCGCAAGACATAGAAGAATGGATGCAATATAACCCACAGGAACTTAGTAAACGTCGTGTTGAAGAGCACGGCCTCAAACTTGGAGGGGATGTCGGCGTCGAGTACATCGTCGCCTTGATATCTGTGATGAATTAGATGTAGTTTTTTGAACGACCCTATTTCACGAACTCTAGGCAAAAGTGAGCCGGGAATCGATGGGAAGTCGTGGTGCTCCACATGATAGCCCACATTATATACGAGCGCATTGAGTGGTCCGTAATAGGAGTAGGTCTCAGGTATGAGTTTGGAGTAGTCGTCCCTTTGGAGTTCATTTATGTTATTATTTTCAAACATATCGATACACTCATCAGGAATAATGAAGTGCTCCGATAAGTGATGTCCACCCATGGGATGCACTCCCATGCATAACAGTGTCGATCCTATCATATAGGCCACGATATGCCAGCCCAACCACTGGCCCACCAAATAGTCGAAAGTGAATTGTATGGCAATATTGGCCAACTCTACGGGACTGGGATTTAAGACAAACTTTGGCTGAGAAAAGAGTGGTCGCAAGACATAGAAGAATGGATGCAATATAACCCACAAGAACTTAGTAGACGTCGTGTTGAAGAACACGGCCTCAAACTGGGAGGGGATGTCGGCGTCGAGTACATCGTCGCCTTGATATCTGTGATGAATTAGATGAAGTTTTTTGAACGACCCTGATGCGGGCACACCAATCGGCAAATTGGCGATTATTGCCAGTATTTTGGTGGCCAATGGTCTGGACGGACCAAACGCGTGGTTGTGTACGATCTCGTGGATAGCCATCTGCAGCGATATATTAAGGACTCCACCGAAACAAAAGCCGATTAGAAATAATTGCCAGAAAGAGGTCACATCTCTTAACATGTAAAACGAGACCAATTGTATGGCAACCGTCGCAATGGTCAACCATTTGAGGTTAGGGTCGGGTGTCATTAGTTGTTTGATTTGTGGATATTTGTCCAGGATCAGTGTACGTCGGGTGGCATGAGGTTCGTCGCTGTAAACCCACTCAAAATCACTTTTAGCTCCCATTTTCTTATAACACTTTTATATAACTTTATTAAACTTATCTGTTAAGCTTATAAATTATAACTGTGATCGTAAATAAATTTTTAAAAAAATATTTTCATACAATTCATAATTAATTCTCTGTTTAATTTCAAATATATTTATCTTGCTGCTTATACTGCAGGTTGTATCAATAAACCATTTTAATATAATAATAATAATCAAATAATTTTACAATTGTCGAAAATAAACGAATATATTTACTGGATAAATTATTTATATATAACTTAATTGTATTATATATTGATATAGGCAAATATTGCAAAACTATTAGAATTAAATTCAAATTTGTTTGTTAAGACAACAATTTTTAAAACGATTTTTAATTGAGTTTTGAATTGAATTTTGCAATCAAGTGATCAAAAAGTGGCCCCACAGTTAGTACATCTCTTTTCACGCATTGTGAACAAGCAAATCTGTTCAAACACACAATCAGTAATTAAAATAATTTTCCATTAATTTACGACTATTTGAATACTAACCAAACCCAACGGGAAGAATAATATACAGCAAAGAATTCCTTTAAAAAAGATTTGTTTAGTATTAGAAGTAATCATTGATTTTTTGATCGTAAAGAGTACAGTAATAATAAATTATAGATTATTCATATCTCATACTTATACCGTAATTGTTGCAATGATATATCCGTATACAGTTATATTTTACAATATTTATAATAAATTTTATAACAGACAATATAATATTCTAGTTGCACAATCAACAGAAATATCAAATTTAAATATATAAACAATAATTACAAATTATAATATTAAATATTAATAAAAAAATATTGCAATTAACACAGTTAATAGCATAGAGCAGTAAAATATCTAACTACATTTGTACTATAGCTATATAATTTAGTGATTAATATAATTAATTTTACATTTTAAGTTATTTATATTAAATTATTGTGGCTTACCCAAACATGTGAACTCATCATCCAATTGCCCGACTCTACATGTGGGACATCCGCCTAAAACAATTGTAATATTTCAAAAATATATATTTAATGACTGACTTTCTATTAGTAAAACTGACCCAAAACTACGACAGTCTGTGGGGCCGGCTATAGACATAAAAAAAGAAACAAAATTCAAATATCAGTAATATTCAAAGTTATACACAAAAATATGAAATAGGTGAGTTTCACAAATTGATTCAAAAAAACTAATTTTATAGAAAAATTTCAATATTAAGCCAAATATACTACTATAAAATAATATGATATTAAATAACTGTTATTTAATAACACAAAATCACTTAAATATACCGTTTGTTGTATTAGGACAGTGCCCTGTTGTGGCATATACTGTCCGGGTGGTGGTGCCTGACCAGGCATGTAAGCCCCCTGTTGTGGTCCAGAATAAGGTGGTGCGGGTCCAGTCTGGGCCGGTTGCCACTGTTGTTGGTTTCCTGATACCAATAAATCATTAATGAAATAATAATTCAAATTGAAGTTCATGCAAACCTTTACCGTATTCGGCCATGGCAATTGTATTTTAAAATAATTTAATATAAAATACGTGTTTTATTCACAATTACTGCCAAATATGTCTGAACTTGTGTGCCGTATATGCTATTATAAGCTATTTGTAACGCCCTTTAGTTCAGCACAAAAGAGTATTATAGCAAGTGAGCTAGCAAAGTGTAGTTCAGCATATGATACCGTATCCTTAACACTGTATTTCAATATAATTGTGAAATTATTTAACTCAATAATGTATTGCCGTATTCTCTAACAACCAGTAGTTGTCAGTCGCTTACCATAGATACGAATGTTAATCAGATACTTATATAATATACCATTTTGTAGTGTATATTAAATATTCTCCATTTATTTTTTACTATATTAAGTATTAAGAGTTATTATTTCTAAATGTTTTTTGGTCTAAACAACTACTTCTTATATGGATCGATATGACAAATGAAATGAATTGTTGACTAACATATGTAATGAGAAAATAACACAAATTTTTTATAATGTGTCAATCGATCGCAAATTCTGACAATAAATATGATTTAAATCAATATTTCTTACTGTAATTTGTTTATGTAATTGTTTTAGTAATTTTTATAAATTAACTTTTATTAATTATTTATACATATGTTGTCAAAGCATTTATCACTAGTTANAAAAAATAAATGGAGAATATTTAATATACACTACAAAATGGTATATTATATAAGTATCTGATTAACATTCGTATCTATGGTAAGCGACTGACAACTACTGGTTGTTAGAGAATACGGCAATACATTATTGAGTTAAATAATTTCACAATTATATTGAAATACAGTGTTAAGGATACGGTATCATATGCTGAACTACACTTTGCTAGCTCACTTGCTATAATACTCTTTTGTGCTGAACTAAAGGGCGTTACAAATAGCTTATAATAGCATATACGGCACACAAGTTCAGACATATTTGGCAGTAATTGTGAATAAAACACGTATTTTATATTAAATTATTTTAAAATACAATTGCCATGGCCGAATACGGTAAAGGTTTGCATGAACTTCAATTTGAATTATTATTTCATTAATCATTTATTGGTATCAGGAAACCAACAACAGTGGCAACCGGCCCAGACTGGACCCGCACCACCTTATTCTGGACCACAACAGGGGGCTTACATGCCTGGTCAGGCACCACCACCCGGACAGTATATGCCACAACAGGGCACTGTCCTAATACAACAAACGGTATATTTAAGTGATTTTGTGTTATTAAATAACAGTTATTTAATATCATATTATTTTATAGTAGTATATTTGGCTTAATATTGAAATTTTTCTATAAAATTAGTTATTTTGAATCAATTTGTGAAACTCACCTATTTCATATTTTTGTGTATAACTTTGAATATTACTGATATTTGAATTTTGTTTCTTTTTTTATGTCTATAGCCGGCCCCACAGACTGTCGTAGTTTTGGGTCAGTTTTACTAATAGAAAGTCAGTCATTAAATATATATTTTTGAAATATTACAATTGTTTTAGGCGGATGTCCCACATGTAGAGTCGGGCAATTGGATGATGAGTTCACATGTTTGGGTAAGCCACAATAATTTAATATAAATAACTTAAAATGTAAAATTAATTATATTAATCACTAAATTATATAGCTATAGTACAAATGTAGTTAGATATTTTACTGCTCTATGTTATTAACTGTGTTAATTGCAATATTTTTTTATTAATATTTAATATTATAATTTGTAATTATTGTTTATATATTTAAATTTGATATTTCTGTTGATTGTGCAACTAGAATATTATATTGTCTGTTATAAAATTTATTATAAATATTGTAAAATATAACTGTATACGGATATATCATTGCAACAATTACGGTATAAGTATGAGATATGAATAATCTATAATTTATTATTACTGTACTCTTTACGATCAAAAAATCAATGATTACTTCTAATACTAAACAAATCTTTTTTAAAGGAATTCTTTGCTGTATATTATTCTTCCCGTTGGGTTTGGTTAGTATTCAAATAGTCGTAAATTAATGGAAAATTATTTTAATTACTGATTGTGTGTTTGAACAGATTTGCTTGTTCACAATGCGTGAAAAGAGATGTACTAACTGTGGGGCCACTTTTTGATCACTTGATTGCAAAATTCAATTCAAAACTCAATTAAAAATCGTTTTAAAAATTGTTGATTTAACAAAATTTGCGTTTGAATTTAATTCTAATAGTTTTCCAATATTTGCCTATATCAATATATAAAACAATTAAGTTATATATAAATAATTTATTCAGTAAATATATTCGTTTATTTTCGACAATTGTAAAATTATTTGATTATTATTATAATATTAAAATGGTTTATTGATTCAACCTGCAGTATAAGCAGCAAGATAAATATATTTGAAATTAAACAGAGAATTAATTATGAATTGTATGAAAATATTTTTAAAAAAATTTATTTACGATCACAGTTATAATTTATAAGCTTAACAGATAAGTTTAATAAAGTTATATAAAAGTGTTATAAGAAAATGGGAGCTAAAAGTGATTTTGAGTGGGTTTACAGCGACGAACCT